TAAAGTAAGACTCCTCCTCATCTTGTCATTTGAAGCCCTGTCCCATTTGGCTCCAACCGACCTTAACTCCAGTGCCCTCTCTCTGCTGATTGTTTCCAATTTATCCTGTCGATAGTGTTGTGAACCATCTGGGGCCTCCCATCACCTGAGAAAGGCCTAAAACCTGGATTGGCCAATCGGGAGAAAGACATTTTGGCCCACTCTGAGCTTAACCTACCATAATGCTTTGTGTGCTCTGGCATGACAGACATGCTTTGCTTTGCTCTCTGAGTTAACCCAAAATGCCCCTTCCTGTGTCAGAAACTACAAGGCCAGATGAAGCTGACCAGGAACATTCTTCTGTTCGTGACTACCAAGGACAAAGTGCCTTGAACCAGACACAATTTTGAATAGTGGGACTTTCTTATGTTATACTATGCCATGTTAATGATAAAAGAAACACAGCCATCCTGGATCTACAATTTCAATTGACACCTTGATATTCTCTTATCTTATTGTATTTACAACCTATCCCATTAAAAATTCCTTTCTCACATTATGCTTAAACACATATGGAGGCTATAATTTTGAGGCATCCTGAGTTGGGATTGCTCTAAGTCTCTAAAGGATCTCCTTCAGCTTGTTTACCTCTGAGTTCAGAATTATTTTCTGACTCCATCATGCATAATTCTCTCACCTAGTGAGAATAAATAAGAACGTTATAACACATGTGCAGTCCAATTCTGTTTGTTTCTTGTTCAAACCTTTGGTAAGATGAACCCCATTCTGTTTGTTCTTAAACAAACCTTTGTAAAGGGGGAACCTCATTGTTTTCTTTGGACAAACTGTTGGTTAAGGGGGAAACTGATTGTGTGTTTCTTTGGACCAACCTTTGGATTTCCAATACTTAGCATAGTGCCTAGCACATAGTAGGTGCTTAACAAATGTTTACTGACTTCTTAGCTTTATCTCTATGATCTCCCTTGACTTCCCTCCACCAGCTGCATTTCTCCCCACCCCCAGTTCTTGTTCTGCTGTCTCCCAACTCTGTGCCTTCACTTACTCTGCCTTCCAGACTCAGAATGAACTTGACTCATCTGACGATGGAAGTCCCTTCCCCTTCCTTCAAAGCCTCATTGCATGCCACCTGCTCTGTGAAGCCTTCTTTGGCCTTTCCCATCTTTGGTGAAAGTGATCTCTCCTTCCTCAGATTTCTCATAGTACTTTGTCCGGGCCTCTCCTTAGCTCCTATGCTAGTCTCCCTTGTATCATGCTCATTTGCATACATTTTTGAAAGCAAGCACTATTGTTTTTATTTCTTTTTGTGCACAGCATTAGGCACAGAGCCTTGCTTAGTAAATATTTGTTGAATTGAATTGAGAGGAGATATCGGGGAGTAAAGGGAGACATCAGAGAAAGGAGGGCACTGATGGAGAGAAGGGGCACTGGGGATGAATGGAAACACTGAAGAGAGGGGGAAACTAAAGGAGATGGGGAACACTGGAGTGAGAGGGAACTCTGCATTAGACAGGAAGACTGAAGTGAACAGGACATTAAAGAGAGAGGAGACACTGGAGAAGGAAAGGGGAAACCTTAGGGAGATAAGAGTAGGAACATCTAGGAGAGGCCTAGTACTTAATGAGTTGATGTTATCTTGGAGTGAGGTCTCTAGAAAAGTAGCCCAGGAGTTGTTCCTCAGCCATGAGCTGCTAATTATTTTTATCGACAGCTTTAATGGAGCACTTGACACAATGCTAGAAGAGGTAGCTAATATGCTGGACTGTAGAACAGGGCTCCAAGAAGACCTCAGAAGACCAGAAGGATAGGTAGAATCAAATAAGATGAAAATGCCTACGATATTCCAGAAGATCTGTCCATCCATTCATACCAGGACTCCCTCCATGGAGGCAGGTTGCAACCATCCTGGTTTCTTTCACTAGTGTCCATGACCAATATATTTGTTACCTGGTGGCCAACCTTTCAATGACCATATATGTCACACTCTACTAGGCAGGTGCTCAGATATTAGGCTTGTACTTTCCAGCTTGGAATAGCTACCAGAGCCTGTATTCTACTGGCATGGCCTTTGAGGACCCAAGGTTCATATCACAACAAAGCATTGAAGGGGTTCTTTAGTAGGAGAATAGGGATAAATGTAAAGTTTGACACGGGTTGAAAAAGAAATATCATCTGTACAATCACTTGTTAGAGAGGCATTAATGAAAGAATGGGTAGATGGATGAATGAATGAATGAATAAACAATTTGTATAGAGGTTTTAATGCATTTTAAGCTCATGTAGCTGAAAAAACAAAGAAAGCTAAGGCAATATTTAACTTTAATACAGCACTACTTCCAGAACAGGTTTTTTTTGGGGAGCAGGAAATGCTCCCACAAGGTAATGTATTGCAAGTCTTCTGTAATGTAGTAAATAGTATTTAAGATTTTTTTTTTGTGAACAAAACATGTATCACCTTACCACCCGGTTGGTGGTACCTTTTCCACACTCAGCCAGATTGGGTTCTCCAGACACATGTCCATTATTCTTGGGCCTGTTCAGGAAGCCTTCTTAGCTTGATAGGAACTGAGAGAATTTGTGCTGTCCTACCTTTGAGAGCCTGGGGATGCTTCTACATCATGAGGAGGCACCATAGGGTGACCTGGAGGAAGGAATGCAGCCTTATGCTGTCTTCATTGAAGAGTAGTATCCAGAGCAAGGGACAACCACCTTGCTGAGCTCTCCCATCTGTTACATGGGATACCAGATTGAAGGCTGAGCTTGACCTCAGGAGTCTCTAATTTAACTCCTTCATTTTATAGAAAGGAAACAAAGGCCAAGAGGGAAATGATTTTCCCAAGATCACACAGATAAGACAGAACCAGAATTTGAATCCAGGTCCTTTGCCTCCAAATCTTGGAACTCTTTCCATTGTTGTGTTCAATTCTAGGGCCATCTTTTGTAAAGGACATTGACAAACTGGGCTAGGTCCTGAGGAGGGACCTAGGATGATAAAAGGACTGGGGACTCTGTCATAGGAGAATTATATGAAGGAACTGAAGACACTTAGCCTAGAGACAGGGAAGCTTTAGGAGGGACATGAGAGCCATCTTCGAGTATGAGATTGACTAAGACCTGCTCCACTTGACCATTTACAGAGGAAGTAGGAGCAAAGCAAGGCCATCATTTCAAGGGGAAATTGCCATTCATTGAAGAGAAAAATTCCCAACACCCTGGGCTATCCCAAAGTAGAATGCACTGATTCAGAAGAAGCTGGGTTCCTCATCCCTGGAGGTCTTTGAGTGGAGATGGATGGTCACTTTTGGGAACAGTGGAGAGAGAATTCCTGCTCAGGTAGACGGCCTTCTGAAGTTTGTGCCAGTTCCAAGACTCAAGGATTCCTATGATGCTATGGTCAGGTACACTGAGGAGAGGTAGATGCTGAGGAGAGAAAACTGGATGAGGGACACAGGGGTCAACAAGGGAATGCTAAGAAGACATCTAGGGCCATTAGAGATAAGGACCATTAGCTGGGGCCACCAAACTGGGTGGCAACTTGTTAGGGATGGCATTCCTGCTCAGATGGCCTCATTCCAACTCTAAGATTCTGCAATCCTGTTAATCTGGGAGGTAGGGACATTGTGGGGGAGGAAGAGGGAGGAAGCCTGGAGGTCACTTCAGGGAAAGTGACCAGGAACACAGACATAGGTCTCAGAAACATGGAAGTGATCGAATATTGATATGGAGGCCTTGAAGCCCTATGAGTGATTGATCCCTGACCAACTCAAACACAGATGGGTCCACATCCAACTTCAGGCAGGGATCTTCTTGTAACTTGTGATTTCTCTTGTCTAGCCCCCTTCCCAGACTGCCCTCACCATCCAACATCTCCCAGCATCAAAGGCTAAACAGCTAGAGAGAAGTATTAGGTCTGGAGGAGTGAACTGTATGGGGTAAATCTGAGAGGAGTGGGAGGATAGAAGAGAAAAGGGAGAAAGAGAGAAGAGATGGAGAGCTGGAACCCTAAGGATCATTTCCCTGTTTTTAGTCAGGACCACAGGTAAGGCCTCTGTAGGTACAAGGCGAGGATTTCATGAAATTGAGACTTCCAAGAGGGCCAAGAGGTCCAACCCAATCTACTTGTTTGATAGGGATTCTGAGGCCCAGATAGGAGAAGGGACTTGCCTAGGGTCACACAGGTAATCAGTAATAGAACCGGAATTAGATCTCAAATCTCCCTGACTCCAAATCCAATGCTTCTTTTCATTATCCCTATTCTGTCCCATTCTCCTTTTGTCTCTGCCATATCTCAGAGAGATAAGACTTTCCTCCCTAGACACTGTCTTCATAACCAGAATGAGGAGGAGGATTTAGAGCTGGAAGGACCATTAGGGACCGTTGAATCTAACGTTCATTTTATAGGTGGAGAAACTAAAACTTGGTGAGGGGAAGGGACTGGGCCAAGGTCACACAGTAAGTTGATGTCAGGGTTGAGACTCAACATCCATTTGTATGCATGCATGTACAAGGCCTCAGGCTGGTTTATGTGTGTGTGTGTGTGTGTGTGTGTGTGTGTGTGTGTGTGTGTAAGTTAGAGAAACATATGAAGCCAAGTAGAGAAAGAGTCCAGGGTCAGAAGGATGATAATACTTGGAAGTGGAAGGAACCTAAGAGGTATAACCTTTCTGAGGATCAGAGAGAGAATTGACTTATCCAGGATGAGATGGTAAGTTAGCAACTGAGCCAAGATTCAAAGCCAGGTCCTGTGAACTCAAGTCCGTTGTCCTTTCCACTATACCCATAGACATCACGGACACCACTGTTAGGGGACCCTTCCCATCTACAGCCTCCCCAGTGGTTTCCTTTCTGGAGGGGCTGGTTCCTGTAACATGGGAACAAAGTACTCTGAACCCCAATCCTGCTTCTTTCAGTGCCAGGTTCCCCACCCCTGAACTAGACCAAAAGCAGCCTGAGGTCTCTGTCTACTGGATGGAGGGCTCCTTCCCTAGCCCAGATTCTCCTACCTGGTCCCATTGGCCCCACAGACCTGCTATTCCAAGCCCTGGAGCCATCAGCAGTTCTTGCCCCCACTGTTGACCTTCTTGTCCTTTAAGGTCACATAGGGCAGCCCCACAAGCCACTCATCCCGAGGCCAGTAGTGGATTTCCAGAGAGTTATCCTGCATCTCATACTGGCCATCCAAAAGAACTAAGACAGCCGCTACATATGGGAACACCAGGCTGATAAAGATGTGCCTAGAGGAACAGGTAAAAGAAGTGAGGGCATTCCCAAACCTCTATGAATTCATCCCTTCCTGAAGACATCCCATCCCATACGACCCCCTCCAAACTGCCATAATCCCAGATCCTTATAATTTCTCACAAACTCACCCTTCTCCCAGCCTCTCCAGGAGACCTCCTCCCTGCCCACTACTAGGGACTTTTCCATATTTGCGACCTCTCAGATTGGCCAACCCATGACCCTAGTCCCAGTATGGCCCTTACCAGAAGCTGTGCAAATAGGCGAAATTGATCTGTTGCCAGAAGGTACAGAATACCCGGTCACATATCCAGATGGACAGAGCCAATGACCACCAGGTCACAGACATCACAATCATATGATTCACTTGGGCGTTTTTCCTGGGGATCATATGGAGATGAGGCTACGCAGTGTCAATTCCTAGAATGTAACCTCCCCCAACCACAGGTAAAGGAGTTGAGGGGGGGGGCCCACAGTGGGAGAACAGAACTCCTAGGTGCAGGAGGATGACTTCTTTGGGAGCATGTGTCAGCATTTGTGTATCTGCACGTATTTGTTTCTTTATGTGTCTGGAGTGGTGGTGGGAGAGGGGCACATGCACATCTGTCTGTCTTTTTACCCTTATCTGTAAAATGAGAGGTTTGGATGAATATGACCTCTTGGACCCTTCCAACTTAAAATCCTTTGATCCTGCTGGTGGCTCTATGCTTTGACAAGGTCTTTGTCTCTGTGTTGGTATATTGACAAGGTGGGGGGATTTCTGGGGTTGGGGTCTCAGTGGACATAGTTGTGGCCACTTCCTTCCTTCCTTCCTTCCTTCCTTCCTTCCTTCCTTCCTTCCTTCCTTCCTTCCTTCCTTCCTTCCTTCCTTCTTCCCTCCCTCCCTCCCTTCTATCCCTCCCCTAGTCATCTGGCTGGCTGAACCAGGCTTCACTCACTTTTTGTACTCCATCCTCACAAAGTAGCAAATGTGCAGCGCAGTAGAGTTGAGCACATAGGCGTTGACAATTGGCTTTACGAAGGCCAGGAAGGTGATTGTGATTGAGATGAGCAAGACCAGGCAAATGAATTGGGACCTGTAGCCCAGAGGAGGAGGGATGAGGTCAGGCAGGGCAGAGGGCAAAGACCCAGGCTGGCCACCTCCCTTTATACCTGTCCTTCTTCAAGAAAGCGGGAAAGTAGCAGGAAGGAAACCAGATACAATAGCATGTCGTCAGTAGCCAGAGGATGGCCAGCTCATCCAGCATCTGTCCCAAGAAGCTCAGCGTCATGTGGAAGTACACAGAGAACAGGCCTAGAACCAACAAGATTCAGAAGTCTGGACTTGGGCACTTCTTGGTCTTCAAAGAAGTCTTTTCTGATTCCCATTCTTTTCCCCTACCAGGAAAGAATCATTAATTCCTATTCACTAGGAGGGTGGTGTGGGGGAATGCTTTCAGACATGCCAGGTCCATACTATTCTTAGGATTACAGGACTTAGAGCTTATAGCTAGAACGAACCTTAGAAATCCAAACTCCTTTTACAGATTAGGAAACTGAGGTCCAGAAATGGGAAAAGTCACCAAGGCTATAAATGGCAAAGCCGAGATTTGAATATAGGTCTTCTACTCCAATTTCAGGTTTATTTCCATTACAAATAGCCAAGCATCACCTGCCTGGTTCCAGAGACCCAAGTAACAGAGAAACACTGACCAGTTGACTCCATATCCTGGGAAATTCTGATCTATGGAGAAAGAAGAGTTGGAATGATACTGACTAGGGGATGCCAGAGCCAGGCAGATATGGATCAGGGAGATACTCACCATGGGACCCCAGGATAAAGGAAATGCTGACCAGAGGATCCCAGAGCAAGAGATAGCCAGAAACCCCTATGTCAGGGAAACCTTAAGAAGAGGCTTCCTGGGCTGTGGAGACCCTGATCAGAAGATCCTATAACCAGGGAGATGGCCAGAGTATCCAGGGGGTGGGACGAACATACCTACTAAAATGTAGAGGACCCAAGGCAGGTGCACGATGAGGGAGCGTTTCTGGGCATAAGGATGCATGAGGTATATCATGAGAGGCCCAATGATGAAGAAGGGGACATTGCTGACCTGTGAAATAACAACCATGTCCAAGGTCAAGTTGGGATGCCCAACCCAAAAATCCTTCCACTCACCTGTCACACCAAATAGAAGTCTGTCTATTAATCTATCAGTTATGTCCCAAATCATCAGTTGCAAACCCATCTGTCAATCTATTAACAGGCCTGTCACTCCCCCTCATCTTGTTTTCAAGAGTAGTTGGCAATGGTTTGAGGTCAATGTGGCAGGAGACCTCCATGGAGGGCCTCAGGGACCTGTGCTTGGCCCTATCCTGTTTAACATTTTTTTTTAAGGCAATCAGGGTTAAGCGACTTGCCCAAAGTCACACAGCTAGTAAGTGTTATGTGTGTGAGGCCGGATTTGAACTCAGGTCCTCCTGACTCCAGGGCAGGTGCTCTATCCACTGTGCCGTCTAGCTGCCCTCCTATTTAACATTTTTTTAACAGGGTGAGAAGCCCCTCTTTTTGACTTGGAAGAACCAAGCTGCCCTGTCCTGCTTCCAAGGCCCACTGCAAGGAGTTTGCAGCCTAACTGTCCTCCATTGCAATCTCTTTATGCTAACAGAAAATGACTTGCAATCAGAGCTTCTTGACTGACAGAGGAAATGGTCAAAGGCATTGTCAGAGAAAATGATCAGCCACCTGTTGCCTCTCCCTGCTGTGATTTGTAATAACAATAACACTGTGGGGCAGGAGGAGCTGTTCTTTTTGTTGTGGTGGTAGTTACGTGGCACAGTGGATAGAGGACCACATCTGGAGTCACGAAGTCCTGAGTTCAAATCCAGCCTCAAACAATAAACTAGCTGTGTGACCCTGGCCAAGTTCTATCTGCCACAGTTTCCTCATCTGTAAAATGGGGATAATTACAGCACCTACCTCACAGGGTTATTGTGAGGATCAAATAAGATAATAATTGTAAAGTGTTTAGCACAGAACCTGGTACGTAGAGAGCACTAGATAAATATTATCTGTTATTGTTGTTTTCCCCATGAAGGGATGTCATTTAATGCCAGGCTAGAGCAGCGGGCTGAATTTAAATGGATGAAACTGAACAGAGCTACATGTCAAGTCTTACATTTGGTTACAAAATTCCAACTTTACAAGTATAGGATTTGGTAGATATGATTAGAGAATAGTTTGTCTGAATAAAAAATATAAATAAAAAAAAACAACAAACCACTTTTGGGGGCAGGTAGGTGGTGCAGTGGATACAGCAATGGCCCTGAAGTCAAGAGGACCTGAGTTCAAATCCGGCCTCAGACCAAACACTTGACACTTACTAGCTGTGTGACCCCGGGCAAGTCACTTAACCCCACTTGCCTAACCCCCCCCCCAAAACTTAGAGTTTTAGTGGTACACAAACTTAATATGAATCAACAGCACAATGTGGACTCCCCAAAGAGCAGAGCGACCCTGGGTTGCATTGAGAGGCATTAGAGTTCCAGGAATTAAGATGTCTCTCTGTCTCTTGTCCTCCTCTTGTGTTTGGTTTGGGGCACACTGGGAAGCTGGAGAGCTTCCAGAGGAGGGCACCCAAGACGGCGAAGGGCTTCTAGTCATGTTATATGAAGATCAGTTGCTAGACTCAGATTTGTTTGGCCTGGGAAACAGAAGACAGCGGGCCACAAGGGTTCTGTTCCAGTACCTGTAGGCTTGTCGTGTGGAGGACAGATTCAACTTGCTCTATTTGGCCCCAGAAGGCAGAATCGGGAGCCACAGGTGAAAGGTGAAGGGATGCAAATTTAGACTTACCATGAGGAAACATTTTCTCATAGTTCTAGCTGACTAACAGTGGAATGAGTTGTCTTGAGAAGTCATGGGTTCTCCTTCTTGGAGGTCTTCAAGCAGAGGCCAGATGGCCACTTATTGTTATTCTTGCTTAGTTGTTTTTCAGTCATGTCTGACTCTCTGTGACTCCCTTTCTGGTTTTCTTGGCAAAGATCCTGGAGTGGTTTGCCATTTTCTTCTCCAGCTCATTTTACAGACGCCCTGGGTCACACAACTAATAAGTGTCTGAGGTCAAATTTGAACTCAGGGAGATAAATATTCTCCTGCCTCTTGGCAAAGAGCTAATGTGCCAGAGATGCCAAATGACTCAGGTTTTCTGAGACAGCCAAGTGCATCAATTTGTGTTTGTTTGACCACATTTATTTGTTATATGGGAGGGAATTTTATTTTTTGGGTGAAAGGTCAGTTACAGGGGAAAAGAAAGAGAGTAGTGATGATGATGCCCTAAAAAAAGTAAAGAAAGAAAAGAAAGAAATGAATCAAACATTTAAAAAACTATAACAAAGAGAACAGTGGAAGTTCAGAGATGCAGACAAGTAGAACCTTTTTGGAACTACTGTGTTAAATTTACCATGTTAAAAACAAAAAAACCTTTGTGGCATAAGATACCAGATTTCTTATATAATCCTTTTTTAGCTCTTCTTTGTTTGAGAAATGACCATAACTGTTTTCATCTGTCAAGTTCATAACAATAAAAAAGAAAACTTTATTTAAATATATTTCGTGACAGGTGTGACCACAAAGATAGTTTTCTTCAATGTCCATTGAATTCCAACATCAAGTGAGGTATTAAATAATTATATCCACAAAAAAGTATTCCTCAGTGTCATGGAGAATGTTTTTCTCTGAGTCTAAATAAAAGAAATATTGTCTTTTGATAAGAAGAGTCCCCAAGTACTACTATTTGGTGATGACATTGGATAAATTGAATCGGGCCCTGGAATAGCATGAAGCTTTACCAAGAAATTCATAATCATTTGAATGGCATTGCACTAACCATCCACAGTGGAAAAACAAAGTGGATAAAAATACATATTTCCCATTTTATGACATGAAGACTACTGAGTTAGTCCATTAAGAAAGAGATCTCAGAGGCATTACCAATGGATAATGAACTGGGTCTAGATTGAATAGAAAGAGATCAGGTTGGATGGGATGGCCCAGCACTTTTAGTGATCTCAAGGTGCTTGCTGCCACAAAAGCTCTTCTCCTTGACCAGGATGTCTTCTGGTGATGTCATGTGACGGCAAGCAGTAGAACACCATGATCTCAGAAGGATCATATTTACAGGTTTTCCAAAGGGCAATAAAAAGATGTATAGTGAGTTTAAGCAGGCTGCATCATGTTTCAGATGAAGACGTGTCATGAGAACACATATGTAGGATCAAATCAGATGAAAACTGAGGAAACATACGTTCCTCTTTTCTTTCTCATTTCCTTGAAGAGGTCTATGAGTACAGAACATTGCATACACTGTCAGGTTTGGTCACTGTGTGGGTTGTTTTTACTGTGACTGGCTTTCTTTAGGTGGTAGGGAAGGGTAAGTGAGTGGAAAGGCAGGTATACTTGGAAATGGAAAAATGAAAGATATCAATAAAAATATTAATTTAAATAGAACAATTAAATTATGATATTCATAACCAGAAAAAAGAGGATGGTTGGTTATTTAGTAAGACCAAGAGATAACAGTTGGACTGCCTGAGCACCGCATTGGTATCCACAGAACTCGAAAGAACAGCAGGAAGCCCTGCAATGCATCGGGTAAATCCTCAGTTAAGTATTTGTGGGGAGATTCAGACAAGAATCCCACATGATGGGATGCGGATGGGTTGGGATCTAAATCATTAGAAGAAGCAGAGGCATCCGTGAGATCCTAGGTCTGACAGAGTATTATGTGCTAGGCTCTGTGGGGGCCTATATCTGTTCAGAGATCAACAATCCAGTTTCCTGCCTCTGGAAGTTCATAGTCCCAAGATCCCACAGGAGGCTTGGGTACAGTCAGTGTCGGAGAAGGCCAAAGCACAGGTTCACCCGGGGGGTGGAGGTGGAGAGTGGTGCTCAGGAAGGTTTCGTAGAGGACTGGACAAACCTAACCATCTTCAGAGGCCTGGCTCAAGCCCCACCCTGGTCACTACCTCATCTGCAGTCTTGTTTTGAATTCTGAGGGCACATTTTAAGAAGAATCTTGAAAATCTGGAGTGTATAAAGAGAACAAACCACAGTAGTGAAAAGAATCGAGACTATGACAAACAAGGATTCATTGAAAGAACTGGAAATAATAATAGCTAACATTCATACTGCACCTTCTATGTGCTAAAAATTTCATAAATTTCTTCTCGTTTGATCTTTATGACAACCTAAGAGACAGGTGCCATCATTATTCACATTTTATAGTGGAGGAAACTGAGGCAGACAAAATTAATTGACTTGCCCAGGGTCACACAGCTAGTATGTGTCAGAGGCTGGATTTGAATGCATGTCTTCCTGACCCCAGGGCCAGCAGTCTATCCACTGAGCCACCTGGCTACCCCCTTGGTGGCAGTATTCATCCTGGACTGGTTTGGAGAGCTGTCACACAGAATGATTAGACTCATTCTGCTCAGTTCCAGAGGGCAGAATTGGCTGTGATGTTTCAGAGTGGAAGATTTAACTTCCTAGCAGGGCTGTCCAAAAAGGCAATAGGTGTCCTTAGGAGATTGAGAGCTCTCTCTCCCTGGAAGCATTCCAATGGCAGCTGGGTGAGTACTTAGGAATATTGCCAGGGCATTTCTGCATAAGTAAGAGGTAGACTGGATACAGTTTGAGGTTCCGCCTGACTTGAAGGCTCTATAGGTCCCTTGTCTTTTGTCTTTCCTTGTAATTCCAGCTTGGCAGAGTGCCCCTGGCACATGATAAGCACTTAATCAACACTTGCTGACTGACTGGTCTGAGCACCAACTGCCCTGGGCATCTCTCCCTCATCTGCCTTCTCCGGTCTTGTCCGTGTGATCACAGATAATCATAGATGCTGAAACACACCTTAGAGGTCATCTAGTTAATCTCATATTACAAATGAAGACGCTGATGCCCAGAAGTTAAGTGACTTCCTCAAAGTCACACAGCTAGGAAGTGGCAGAGCTGACTGAAACTCTAATCTTTCCATTGAACCAACACTGCTTCTAATTATCTAGCATCTGATTGAGCAGGTCCTTGGTTTTTTTTTTTAAAAAGCTGTCCCAAAGTATTCCCAATGGGTCATGTCACCCCATCATGCTAGTGGCTCCCAGACTCAGCACCCTCTGCTCTGCCTTCCCCTGACTGTTCTGACTGGAGGCTGAAGGTGAGACTGGAGCTGCAGAACTGCCTCAAAGTAGAATAACCTGTCTGGATGCCCCTGTCTTAGATGAGCACTTAATGGGAATATAGTAGAGGGAATTGTTGCATGAGTATGGGTCAGACAGCTAGGTGGCACAATGGATAGAGCGCTGGGCATGGAGTCAAAGATCTGAGTTCAAATCTGGCCTCAGACACTTATTAGCTCTCTGATCCTGGGTGAGTCACTTAACCCTGTTTGCCTCAATTTTCTCATCTGCCAAATGAGCTGGAGAAGGAAATGGCAAACCACTCCATCAGTATCTTTGCCAAGAAAACCCTGAATGGGGTCATGAAAAGTCAAATGTGTCTGAAACAACTGAATAATAACAATGAGTTGGACCTGGATCCTGATCCTATCTCTCTCTGCCATTAACTTGCTGTGTGATCTTGGGCAATCCTCTTTCCTTCTCTAGATAGACATTTCTAAGACTGAGCAGGGCTGGGCTTCTCTCTTCCCAGTATGAGAAGTGTCTGAGCCACTGAGAAACAAGGGGAAGAGAGCGGCTGGGCAGGGAGGCCTATCCAGGGATCTCAGATCTGTGATGCTAACAGGATTCACTGGGACATGTCCTAAGCCAGAGTCTCAGATCTAGGTCTGAGGTGGGCCATACCCTGATGCTCAAGGTGAAGTGGTTTGTGGGCAGACATTTCATAAGACTGGCATTTAAAGTCCTGTCACCCTAGCGCCACCATCTTCTAACTCTTCTCTCACCCAGTCCCTCCACACATTCTAGGTTTAGCCATGCTTCCTCCTCACATTTTCTCAGGTTCTATCCCCCATCTAGGGCACCTCTATCTTTACTGATTTATAGAATCATAAGATTTAATGCTGGAAGGGATCTTAGAGACTATCTGGCCCAAGTTCTTCATTTTAGAAATAGGTAAACTGAGGCCCAGAATGGAGAAATGACTTGTTCAAGGTCACACTGCTAATAAGTAGAAAATTGGGATTCAAATTCGGGTCCTCTACCTCAATATCTACTCTCCTTTCTATTAAGCAATGCTGCCTCTAAGAGCTAAAAGAGAATGATCTCAAGTCAGCAAGGTCAACCTTCTACCCCAGGTGGAATCTCTTTCACAGTCTTCTTGAACAGGCAGTCAGCACTAGGTTCCTCAGTGACAGGGACAGCCCAGTCCACTGTGAGGTAGCTCTAATTGGTAGAAATTTCCCCATAACTGTCCCCATCCACCCCCTTCTGCTCCTAGTTCTGTCTTGTGGCTGCACAGAATGGCACATCTTCTCCTCTCCAGCTTTCACCAGTTTTTCTAGTCTTTCCTCCTCCAGGGAGGCTTTTGTGACCACTCTAGCTTCCTGTGACCTACCACTCCCTATTTGAGCCCTTCCTGAGCCCTGCCCCTGGCCTCCAGCCCAAGAAACATGTATCCCTGGTCTCTAGGTTGCCTGGGTGGATGCCTCTCCAGGATGGAGAGAACTGTTGACTTCATGCTACCCATTCCCACTCTTGGGGATGCAGCTCACGCTATCACCAAGCTCTGTCCTATCATCTGGAACTTTGAGGACAAGGGAAGAACTGACAGGTAAAAGGAGACACAAGAGGAAAGACAGCAAGAGGCCACAGAGTTAATTAATAACTGCTCCCTTCCTCTCAAACTTTAAATTTAAAAAGCCCTTGCTTTGACAACCCTGTGAAAGTAATATAAAGTACTATTTTGTCCTCAGTTTACAGGGAAGGAAAATGAAGCCCAGAGAGGTAGTGATGTATCCAAGATCACACAGCTAGACTAGATTCAGAAGTCAGGTTTCCTGACATCAACCAGCCCTAAAATATCTCCTCTACAACCACCAGGAACAATGAGGACTGAAATGAGAAGCTGAAGGTTTTGGAGGTTTTCCCAAAGACTGGAGATAATAATAATAGACCCTTCTAAAGGCATCGCTGTGCACTGCCAATGAATGGAAAGGGATTTTGCTAGCTCCAGGTGGGGCTAACAGAGGTCCATGGTAAACAATAAGCCTAAGGGGCCATCATCTATTCTGGCCCGAAAGACTGGAAAAGAAATTTCTCCAGATATAACTGATCCTCCCTGAGTGGCTGGCTCAACTCCACCCAGCCCAAGCTCCTGGTGTGCTCTGGTCTCCACGACCCTCATACCACCCCTATTTCTCCCTTTCTGAACTCATGAAACTCATAAGGGCCGTTCTAATGGTCCTTACATAAAATCACATTTTATGATTTTATGAGGCCTGACTTCAGAGAAAGGAAAGGATTTGCCCAAGGTTACATAGCCAACAAATGGAAGAGCTGGGATTAGGCTTCCTCATCCCATTTTGGGTTTTTCCCATATAACCCTCCCCAACACCCAGCTCAGTACCCCCCTTATATTCAAATCCCCTCCTTGGTGGCCCTAGGACTGAGGTACCCAAGAAACCCAGGTCAGATTGGGATGCCCCAGAGTCTCACCCAGACTTTCTATATGGGTAGCATCCTGAGCAAATTTTACCTTTGTCCCAGGCTGTGGCCTAGCCCCAGAATGACTTACCACCCCCACCCAGCCTCACCGTATTGTAGAGCTCAGCCACCAGACTTGAGTGCTGGAAGTTGCTTTCACACCAATCGACCTCAGAGCTCTGATACAAGAATATGCTGGCCATGTCTCTGCTGGGCTGCCTTTGGCCATGGAGGCAGGAGCAGGTGAGTATCTTACAGGTGAGCAGTCAGGGAGGAACCCATTGGGAGGGACCAAGGGAGGCGGGCAAGGATGGAAATCTGGGCTTGACAGACATTAAGAAGAAAAACCTGATCTTCTGGCTCCATCCTGAGTATACCAATATCTTAGAACCTAGCAGCTCTGGGTCTATGGGATCTCACTATAGGACTAGCCAGGAATCAGAAACAGACAGTCACATTAGCAGCAAGGGGAGGTGCAAAGGGCAAATTACTGTGAAGACCCCTCAGATAGAGTTATAGAATCGGAGGTTTTATTAGAGCTGGAAGAGATCTTAAATATCTTCTATTCCAATTCTTCTCATTTTATAGAGAAGGATACTGAAGCCCAGAGAAGTAACTTTCTCTCCACGGTCTTTGTTTCATATGAATGTTTTGTATATATTTGTCTGTCATCATTTGTCTGTTGTTTCTCCCCAGTAGAATGTAAACTCCTTGAGGGAAGAGATTTGGTTTTGTCTCAGTATTTCCAGTGCCCAGCACAGTGCCTGGCACACAATAGGCCTTAAATAAATACTTTTTAAAACAAGAGCAGCCAAAATAAACAAACCCCTAAATGGAACACTGCAAAATAATACTGTCCAAGCATGGCCCCAAGGAAGATATGAGAATGCACCTCCCTCCCTTCTTTGCAAAGATGAAAGACTACAGGTGAGGAAAACTGCATATAACATCAGACCTGGTTAATGCCCTTGTTTTGCTGAGCTGTTTCTTTATTCTTTGTTATAAGGGATAGCTCTCTATAGGAGAGAGAGACCTGGAGGGGGGAAAAGCCTAAAGAAAGGGAATGGATTGCAACAATGTCCCATCCCCATAGAAGGGTGATGAATTCAGAATGTAGAATGAAGTAGACATTTTTCATTGCGGACAACATCAAGATAAGTATTGCTTGGCCATACATATTTTACATGAGGTTTTGTTTTCATAAGTGAGAGGGGGAGGAAAAAAAATTAAAATAAGTTTTATTGAGAAAAAAAAGAAAGGGAATGAATTAACTGAGGCCACTGGGGTAGTAAGTGACAGATCAAGGATTCAAACCCAGGTCTCTCTTACTTAAAATGCAATTCTCCTTCCAGATGAAACCCTTATCCCAACCCTTGCTTAATAACACTCCCCCTTAACGGGTGGCTGTGGCCATGGGCTGGCTCTTCTACAATCTGTCTTCTCTGTTCTTTCTTCCCCAGTGTTCTCCATCCTCAAAGAATAAATGCTCAGTCTCATTTCCTAGGAACCCTCCCCAGGAATATAATCCTAGTTGGACAACTCATGGTTGCTTCTGGAGTTAAAAGTGCTTTGAGGTTTATGTATTAAGCCTTTTGAGATCCTTCAATATATTAAAGTCCTAAGATACCTTGAAATCCTAGGATCATAGGATTTTGAATTGGACAGGACCTTAGAAATCATTTCCTCTACCACGCTTATTTTACAGAGGAAGTGACTTAGGCTCGAAGAGTTTACTGAGAGTGTTCTAAGAGTATAGAGGTTCTTTTAAGGAGAGAAGGTCCAATGCTAGGCCCTCTTCCTCTCCTAGTCCCAGATGTCCCTTGTTCCTTGAAGGAAGAAGGTAGCTCTCCCCCTTTTCCATAGTACTGGTGGCCTGAGTGATCTCCTGCCAGGCCAGACTCCCAGCTTGGAGAGGAGAGACAGGTGGCTGCAGAACCTATCACACCAGATGGTTTGGCCTTAAGGGTCATCACCACTGCTTTGGGGTCTTTGATGAGTTTGGTACGGATGCCATTCTTGTCAATCTCAAAGCCTAGTGTAAGAATTCTTGTTCATCTCCATTCTAGCCCGGGGATCTCCAAGCACTCCTAAGACTTCTAGAAGGGGAGATTTCAAAGAATTTAGAATACTAAGGGATTTTTTCATCTTAGGGCACTGAAGAAGACTTCTCTTAACTTCAGGAAACTTCTCTGCAAAATGATCCTGTGGGGCTACATAATTTCTAAGGTCCCTTTCAGTTGTATGTCCTATGATCTCAAGCCATCAGAATAGGATCTTAGAATCATTGTGACATCTCAAAGCACTTAGTGCTGTAAGGATCTCAGAGCTCTTTCTAGGGCTGACATTGGGCACAGTCTGTTGCACAAGGTGCTGTTTCTGCTTGGCAGAGAGGGGGTCTAGGCAAGAGATATCTTCCCTTGCCCCAGGTGCCAGCTATTTGCCAGTCTGTTTGGTAAGTGATTTCTCCCCTAGGATGGGAGCTCCACCCTGGACATGATAGGAGCAGAGAGAGGCATCTCCTAATTCCTAGATTTCAGGTGGGCTTTTTTCCCATTGATCCAACTGGCCTCCCTTGTCCCATTCTAGGAGCCCCTAAGGTTTCCTGGGTCCTTCCTCCAAAGCCCAACTCTACCTACCCTGAGACTTGGGGCTAGTGAGCTCCATCCTTTGCTGAAAGGGGTGCTAAGGGCTTTCCTAAGGCACTGTGGAGCAGTAGGAAGAGAATTGACTTAAGTTCATGAAATTAGGAATCCTGGCTTTGTCATCTCCCTCTAGGACCCTAAGCAAACCACTTTTCTCTGGGCCTCAAGTTTCCTTCTTAGAAAAATGAGTAAGGTTGGATGAAATGAAGCAGCAGTAAGATATAATGGAAAGGGCTTGGAATTTGGCACTGAAAGACGTGAATTCAAGTAGTTACTCTCCAAATTACTAGCTCTGTGACCTTTGAAAAGTCTTTCTCCACTCTAGGCTTGAGGTTGGCCATTTGCAAAATGGGTTGGATGTGATCTCTAGGGCACTTCCAGCTCTGACACTATGAGATTCTTTGGTGCTCTTGGGAAGGAGCTAGACTTGAGACTAACAAGAAATCCTTCTGCACCACCCTCCCCAATTTCCCCCAAAGGAACCCTGAACAGTGACCCCTTTGGTTAACTTTATGTTGGAGCAGGCTCCCCAACCTGTCTCTCCTTCTTAAGAAGCTGGGGCTCTGACCTGGCAGGAGCTGGGCTTGCCTGAAGAGATCACCCAAGCCAACAGCGGTAGGCAGAGATAGGGAAAGGCACCTCCTTCCTTCCAAGAAGAGAGAAGAGACATGGAGCTAGAATTGGAGGAAGACCTCGAGACTGACCTTTTTCTCTTGCTTGGACATTGGCACCATTGCCAGGATCTCAGTGCCTGAAAAAAAAAAAGCAGTTCTATGTACATGATCTTGAACCTCCTTTGCCTATGAATAGCCCTTCCAGGGGACACTGCACCCACACTCAGCAAGAGAAGTAACATAAGCAGGATAAAGGACAGGCAGTCTCAGGCTCAAATTTGACCTATAAGAAAGGCAGGAAAGGTAGAAATGTGCTGGACTGGAGTATGGAATGAAGCACACTTTCTCAGACATGATCAATGTATGGGTTTGTTTTGCTTGATTGTCCTTTCTTATTACTAGGGAATATTTTATTGGGAGGTGGAGAGGAGAGGGGAAGTCATTGAGGAAGGAAGGAAGGAAGAAAGAAGGAAGGAAGGAAGGAAGGAAGGAAGGAAGGAAGGAAGGAAGGAAGGAAGGAAGGAAGGAGGAAGGAAGGAAGGAGAAGGGAAAGAAAAGAGGGAAGGAAGGAAGGGAGGGAGGAATAAGAGAGAGGGATGGGAGAGAAAGAAGAGAGGGAAAGAAGGAAGGGAGGGAGGAAAGAAGGGAAGATATAGACATTTGCTTACCAGTGACCTTGCGTTGGACTCTCTGACTTCCTAGACTCAGAACTCTGTGCAACACAACTTGCCAGCCCTTTGTCAGAGCATTTCTGGAAGGTCACCTCTTGCCCACCTGAACCTTTGGTAGCTACCAAGCCTTTCTACCCCTGTCCAGTCCCGAGAGGGTGAAAAGAACTCTGATTTGAGAGTTATAAAACCTGGTTTCTATTTCTGTCTCTGCTGCTTAACTTGGTTTTTTTCATTTTTGTTTGTTTGTTTTTGGTTAGGCAATGGGGTTAAGGGACTTTCCCAGGGTCACCCAGTTAGTAAGTGTTATGTGTCTGAGGCCAGATTTGAACTCAGGTCCTCCTGAATCCAGGGCCGGTGCTCCATCTACCACGCTATCTAGCTGCCTGCTGCTTAACTTGGAAAACTTTGGGCAAGTTCCTTCCTCTCTCTGGGCCTCAGTTTCCTCACTTCTGTTAGGACGGGGGTGGACCAGATGACCCCTAAGGTCTTTTCCAGGTCTGATCTATGCTCTGAATTCCGTTCCAGCTCTAGCATTCCCTGATTCCACAGTTCTGTGACTCTGTAGCTTTACATACTAAAATTTGATTTTCATACATTTCAATCAATCAAGAAGCATTTACTTTGTGCCAAGCACTTGCTAAACACTGGAGATACAAATAAAGGAGAGGGAAAGGCCCTGCCTCTAAGGAGTTCACATTCTAATCACAGAAACAATTTAGAAATAACTAGGTGTATATAAGATATTAGCAAAGTAAGTGAAAGGTAATCTCAGTCTAACAGCTGAGAGGACTGAGAAGAAAACTCCTGCACAAAGTAAGCTTTGAGCTGAGCCATGAAGGAATTCAGGAAAACTGAGAGGCAAGGAGGAGGGGCACCATGTTCGGCAGGGTTGGAGGGGGTGGAGTTCAGCCAGTGCAAAGGCCTGGCAATGGGAGATGGGGGGTCATGTGTGAACCATAAGTAATCTAGTGCAGTTCTGCAGTAGAATGTGTCTGAGAAGACCAGAAGGGTAGACAGGGGCTGGTTTGGGAAAAACTTTAAATGCCCAGTGAAGGCATTTGCATTTGATTCTGAAGGTAAAAGGGAGCCCCTGGAACTGAGCTATTATGTGGAAATGCTGTCTCTCTATACACATGTATCATGATCCTTTCTAATTCAAGTCAGAATCACAGAATCTCCCAATGGGAAGGGATCTCAGAAGGCATCTAGTCTAATCCATACTGATTAGGAAGCCCTGACAAATAGTCATTTGGCCTCCACTTAAAGGCCTCCATTG